CCGGGGGAGGGGTTTGGGGAGGGGGAAGCATTTCACACGCCGATGATCCCCAAGGGGTCGGCGGATTCTATAGAGTCCCTGGAGGGATCCACAAGGATTCTATAGAGTCCGTGGAGGGATTCACAGGGATTCTATAGAGTCCCTGGAGGGATCCACAGGGAGTCTATAGAGTCCCTGGACGGATCCACACGGATTCTATAGAGTCCCTGGAGGGATCCACACGGATTCTATAGAGTCCCTGGAGGGAGTCTATAGAGTCCCTGGAGGGGTCCATAGGAATTCTATAGAGTCCCTGGAGGGATCCACAGGGATTTTATAGAGTCCCTGGAGGGAGTCTATAGAGTCCCGGGAGGGATCCACAGGGATTCTATAGAGTCCCTGGAGGGATCCACAGGGATTCTATAGAGTCCCTGGAGGGATCCACAGGGATTTTATAGAGTCCCTGGTGGGATCCACAAGGATTCTATAGAGTCCCTGGAGGGATCCACAGGGATTCTACAGAGTCCCTGGAGGGATCCACAGGGATTCTATAGAGTCCCTGGAGGGATCCACAGGGATTTTATAGAGTCCCTGGAGGGATCCACAGGGATTCTATAGAGTCCCTGGAGGGATCCACAGGGATTCTATAGAGTCCCTGGAGGGATCCACAGGGATTCTATAGAGTCCCTGGAGGGATCCACAGGGATTCTATAGAGTCCCTGGAGGGATCCACAGGGATTCTATAGAGTCCCTGGAGGGATCCACAGGGATCTATAGAGTCCCTGGAGGGATCCACAGGGATTCTCTATAGAGTCCCTGGAGGGATCCACAGGGATTCTATAGAGTCCCTGGAGGGATCCACAGGGATTCTATAGAGTCCCTGGAGGGATCCACAGGGATTCTATAGAGTCCCTGGAGGGATCCAGGGATTCTATAGAGGGAGGGATCCACAGGGATTCTATAGAGTCCCTGGAGGGATCCACAGGGATTCTATAGAGTCCCTGGAGGGATCCACAGGGATTCTATAGAGTCCCTGGACAGGGATTCCACCAGGGATCCACAGGGATTCTATAGATTCCCTGGAGGGATCCACAGGGATTCTATAGAGTCCCTGGAGGGATCCACAGGGATTCTATAGAGTCCCTGGAGGGATCCACAGGGATTCTATAGTCCCTGGAGGGATCCACAGGGATTCTATAGAGTCCCTGGAGGGATCCACAGGGATTCTATAGAGTCCCTGGAGGGATCCAAAGACTCCTAGAGGGTCCCGAACGGATTCCGATGGGAATCCGTAGGGAGCTTCTAGGATTCATACAGAATTCATACAGAATTCTTACAGAATTCATACAGAATTCATACATAATTCATACAGAATTCATACAGAATTCGTTGTGTTGTGTTGTGTTGTTCCCCCCCCCCTCCGACCCACCGGGGGGGCGGGACCGGCCTCTTCCACTGTGGCGGACGCGGGAAGTGAAGCCCCGGACCCCGGGGGGACCATGCCGGCCTGTACCTTGTTGTCGTTGTTTTCTTGTTTGGCTTTTGGTGTTGTTGTCTGTTGTGTGTTTTTCTGTTCAATCCCTTGGGACTTTCCTGGGGCTCCAGAGGCTTCCAGACACACTTGGAGGCCTCTTGGGGTTTCCAGGGGGCATCCGAGGAACTCCTCTGTCCCTCCCCCTATTGTCAGGCAGGGGCAACTTTAATCCGCACGATCCGATTCAATATCGATTCCATCTGGCCCGATTCGATCGGATTCCGAGAATCAGGTGGTCCGATGCTGCCCGATGCCTGCATGGGCGTTGTTGTGTGTCGTGGCGCGGCCGATCTAATCCGATTCCGACTCCATGCCGATGCAGCTCGACTCGCGCGGATGGAGGGCCGGCCGCTTTCAACATGTGGTTATCGCTTCAGCGCCGCGTGCATTCGTTTTAAGCATGTGAAACAGCTTCACGGATGGAATGCGGTTGGAGGCCTGGAAATGGCCACCAACACCAACACAGGGGCTTGCCTCCACAGGGGGAAGATGATCCTAGATTTCGGTGTTGGTGGTACTATTTCGGCCACCTTCGGAGCCAGAACATTACCACCATCGCCGAGATCGGGGTCTTCTTACCTCGAAGGAGGCAGCCCGCCGAAATTGGTGCTGGTGTCAACCTCTAGGCCTGCGAGGAGGGCTGGTTTTCTAAACGTGGCTCTCGCTTTAGCGCCCCACACAGTCGGTTTAGACGTTCGCACTCGTTTCATGGATCGTGGACGAGCCGTCCTCAAGATGTGATGTGGCTCTCGCCATCGCGCCGCGCGCATTTGCTTTGAACATCTGTAACAGTTTCACGCATTTTTGAAGTTCCAGGAGCTGTGTCCTGGCACGGTTTAGGACTGTCAGGACGCAACAATTACGTTGATTCGCGGTGTCGAAGTCCCAGGAACGGCGTTCTGGCATGATTCAGGATTGTCGGGGTGCACCAGTCACGTTGGTCCGCGGCGCTGAAGTCCCAGGAACTGCGTTCTGGCATGATTGAGAACTTTCAGATGATTGTCTTCCAGCGGGACACTTCCTGCAGTGAGAATGGATTCTTGAGGGGGTCTATGAAGGTTCAAGAGAGGCAGAACCACCAGGACCCGACAGTTGGCGCTTACTGCACGGCCCTTGGCGTTTACTAGACAGCCATGCCCTGTTTGGTTTCTTCTTTGGGTGCGTTTACTAAACGGCTTCGCGTGTCGGGGTGGTTATCCGTAATGGCCTCGTCCCCTGCCGCCGGCCCCCCCTCTCTCGGAGAATGGGCCATGGAAGAGCGAAGTCATGGGACTTTGGCTTCACCGTGAAGCAGCGTCGGAACTTCATGCGAAGACGATGGGTCATTGGCAAGACGAATGGAGATTGCGAGTCTATTGTTGTACTCGCTGTTGTATTTTCCATTTGCTCCCGTCTGCTTTGCCCAAATCTTCGCCCCGAATTTGAAAATGTTGGAAGTCTCTTGTGTCCTGACCGCGCGGAAGTGCGTGATGGGGTGCCCGAGAATTTCAGACATGTGGCTCCCGTTTGGTTTGGACCCTGACCCTGCTGATCTGCGTGAGGGGTGCCACCAGATTTTAGACATGTGGCAAATCCCATGTGTTTTTGGACCCTGACCCCGCCGATCTGCGTGAGGGGTGCCAGCGAATTAAACCAAACATGTGGCAAATCCTTTGTGTTTTTGCACCCTGACCCCGCCGATCTGCGTGAGGAGTGCCAGCGAATTAAACAAAACAAGTGGCAAATCCTTTTTGTTTTTGCACCCCGACCCCGCCGATCTGCGTGAGGGGAACTGTAACAGTGGAAACTGGAAGCTGCAACTGGCACAGGAAACTGCGAACCTTCGGCCTACAGCCTGGTGGCCCACAATGGGGGGGGCGGATTACGGGGGGGGGATTGTTTGATTCTGAAAAATGGAAGCACGTGGGGGGTTTATTGCAGCATCGTTGGCGCGTCTTGCGCTTACACTGGTTCTCCCTCTCACCTCTTTTTTCTTCTTCTCCTCATGCTCCTCCTCTTCCTCCTCCTTATCCTCCTCTTCCTCCTCCTCCTCAGGCATTTCGGCTCCATCAGGGGATTGGGTCGTCCACCTGCTGGAGTTTGGGAGCAGCACCGTCTCCGAAGTGGCATTGCTCCCCCGAGCCACAACATGAGCAATGACACCTGGGACTGCACCGCGTGCGGCGTCAAAGGATGTCATCGCAATCGCACGAGGTGCTGGAAGTGCTGGGCATGGAAGACGGGCGAAGGCGGCTAGCAGCGAAGCCGCCACAGCCACATCCGCAAGGATGATGACCAGCAACCAGGGCCCGAGGCTGACGCCCGAGACGAGGCGAACAAGAAGCTGGCGGTTCTGCGGAGCTGCGTGCGCGACCTGCGCGCGCAGGCCGCCGAGGAGGGCATGGAGTTCCTTGGCGAGGCAGCGGACCGAGTGCAGGAGGAGGTCCGCCGCTTGGAGGCCCAGAAGGAGCAGAGTGTACCGAGTGCAGAAGGAGCTTCACTCAGGCGCAAACGAAGCGAGAACGCCGCAGGGCGGAGACGGCCAGGGACGGCATCAAGAAGGGGATCGAGGCCCTAAACGCCAAGGCAGAGGACATTCAGAAGGAGCTGGCGGAGGAGAGGTTCAAGCTCGAGAAGAAGGAACCGCATATCCAACAGCTGGAGGCCAAGAGGTCGCAGGTGGAGCAGCACAGTGCCCACCGACACGGAGGGCCAGTAGGGCATGGCGGCGCACCACCTGGAGCAGGCGGAGGCGCTGCTGCAGGAGCACACGAAGGAGACTGCCGACACGCACCTCAAGGCCAAGCATAAGTACATCAGGGAGGCCTTCGCAATGTTCAAGAAGAGGCAGCAGGCAGTCGCGGAGGAGATGGAGAAGACCGAGGCCGAGGCCGAAGCCCAGCGCTCGCACTCCCTGTCGCGCAAGCGCGGGGCTGAGTCGAGCTCCAGCCTGGTCGCCATCCCCGCCAGGGCATCGCCGGAGCAGGTCGAGCAGCTCCTCAGCAAGCACTGCACGGCCGAGCAGGCCGAGAGGCATGCGGGCGCCATGGCATCTGTTGTGGGCGATCTGCTGGATGGCTTTTCCTTGGGGCTGCGCGTGCCGTCATCCTGGCGGCAAGCAGCCACGCCAGTAGCACATCATGACGGCCAACGCCAGCACGGCCAAGTGTCTGGAACGCGTGCTGGGGCTCGCGAGTACCAGGGCCGTGGTGCTCGGCCACGAGCTGTCCATGGGCATGGCCGACTCGGGGGGTGGTCGCAGCGCATGGATCGAAAGGGTTGGAAGACTGTAGTGGTGCCCAGCGTGCGCGCTGCGGACGGAGTGTGCAGCGCGGGCGCGGCCATCGCGGTGCCCAAACACATCGCTATGAGCTTCGTGGGCGGGAACCCGCGGAGCTCCTGGGGCGCCTCGCCCCCCGAGAGCCCTGGCCGCCTGGCGGTGGCGTGGGTGGGCATCGGCGAAAGCGGCGGCGTCGTCATTGGCTCGTGCTACCTCTGGTACTCGGAGGGCCCCGCGCCCAGGAACCTGCCTGCGCGGGCGGCCTTCGGCGCGCTGGTGGACGCCGCGGGCGTGCAGTGGGTCATGGGGGGCGGCCTCAACATGGGCGCAGAGCAGTTGTGCGAGAGCGGGGTGGTCGACAGACTGAAGGGAGTCATCGCCCGACCGAGCGAGGGCATGTGCAAGGTACCAAAGAGGGAGGCCAGCACCCGAGACTATGTTATCGCGTCGAGGAGGCTGGCGCAGACGGAGCGCGCGACGGTGGAGAATGACCTGGCCTTGCGCGCCAGGTGCAGCCCGCATTTCCCCGTCTCGTGTTGGCTGGGCAAGAGTGCACCTGCATGCAAGGCCAGCGCAGTTGGCCAAGATCGCGCGCTGGCCGCTGGACATGCGGCAGTCCTCATCGAGTGGCCCATCGGCCCCGACCTCGAGGGCAACGCCGGGCATCGGGTGATCGACGCGCACTGGGGGGTCACCGCGAAGGCCTGGGAGTCCAACCTGAACCGCTGCCACGGCTTTGCGGACGGTGACCTGGCGCGGAGGCAGAGCCGCTTCCAGACGGAGCAGTTCTGGGAGGTCGCGCTGGTGCCAGTGCGCAAGCCGCCGAGAGGCGCCCCGACCAAGAGGGCCACCGCGGCGGAGTGGCTGAGATACCGACTGCAGGAGCTGGCACGCTTGGCCACTGGCGCAAGCGGGGGACAGGTCGGCACCTGCCACGAGCGGCAAAAGCAGCTCAAGCTAAACAAGGCATACCAGGAGGCCATCGACATCGACCTCCTGCCGCTGACAGCCGCCGGGGATGGAGCGCCGAGGGCGCGGCCCGACGGCGCCGCGGCGGACGACGGGCAAAACGCGAAGCGGGCGATCGCCATCCTCGTGGGCGCCAACGGCGCGCTGAAGGACGGGGCGCCGCACGTGGAGTACTGGGCGCTCAAGGCTGGCGAGGTCGCCGACCAAGGGCGCAGGGCAGCCCTCGGCAAGGTGACGAAGGAGTGGGGGCAGCGGGTGCAGGCGCACTCGGTCGGAGGAACTGGCCCGCTGCACAAGTTGACCAAGCCGTCGACGCATTGGGCGCCGATCGGGTCGCCGCCCTCGTCTCCGGCGGCGCCGCGATGCGGCGGCCCTCGGCGCTCGGCGGACCAGGTCCTGGGGGGCTTTGAGGAGGTCTGGCGCAGGCCCACAAGGGGCCGCGATCCCCGGCAGGAGCGCCCGCCGCCTTTCGAGCCGAAGTTGGCGCCGCTGGCCCCCGCCGAGGCATGCCTGCGCTGCGCGGGCTTCAAGAGGCAGACGGGCTTGGGCGCGGGGCAGTGGCGCCCGCGCCTGTGGGCCGCGGGGGGCGCTGAGGGCATCCGGCGCATCGTCGACATGCTCGGCGCGGTCGAGGGCGGCGCGCCATGGCCGTCCAGCCAGTCGGACATATTGTTCTGCAACAGGCCGAAGGCGGAGGGCGGGGGCATGAGATGCCTTGGCCTGCCGCCAAAGGTGGCCCGGCTGTGGGGGAGCGAAGGCGCCCCATCATGGCTAAGTGGGGCGCCTGCCACAGGAGAGACAACGACTGGTCGCGTGCGGGGCGCAGTAGTGAGCGCGGCGCCTGGGTGCAGCGGCTGCCCCGCGAGGCAGCCACGGCCGACGACGAGAGTTGCGCAATCACCTTGCTGGGCCTGGTCAAGTGCTTGGAATGCGTGGGCCAATGGAAGGTCTGGGAGGCTGGTCGGAACTGGGGGTTCCCCGCGCGCCTGCCGCGCGCGATCCTCCGCATCTACGGGGTGGCCAGGCGGGCGGTGCTGGGGCGCGCGGCCACCGAGGACAGGCGCTGGCTGCTTGCGGCGAGCTCCGCCGTCGCACCAGTCGCCCTCGAGTGGGTGATCGACGCAATCCAGCTGGGCAACAGCCTCGCAAAACTGTGCCTGTTCTTCGACGACCTGTCGATCGCGCGCGTGGGCGAGCGCCGCTGGGTTACAGTTGAGAGCGCGAGAATGGTTGGCACCGTCGCCGACCGCCTGGTGAATGAGCTCGAGATGCCAGCCCCCCCTGGGCGAGAAGGAGAAACGCCGCTTCTGGCCGCGCCCGCGGCGCCGGCCAAAGACATTGAACCCGCGGCCAAGATGATCGGGATCAGGGCCGCGAGCCACGCCGAGCACCCGGGCATCGCTGTCCGCGCAGGCCGCCGCCGCCGAGTGTCCGCTGTGCACAAGAGAACCCTGAGGCGGAAGAGTCGTGGGAAAGAGGTTGCGAGAGTGAGAAGAGCTGGAGGCCGAGCGAACGAGCTTGTTACGGCAGCAGCAGCGCCCTCCATCCTCTACGGCGCGAGGGTGGTCGGAGCGCCCGCGCCAACAGTGCAGCAGCTGCGCCAGGCCGTCGCGAGTTCTGTCGGCGGCAGCGTGGCAGGGCGGCCAGCGCCATCTGTTTTGCCTAGCGAGGGCATGGGCCCCGCGCGCTTCGCCAACGCAGGCCCCGTCGCGGAGTGGGCCAGCGCTTGGGAGGAAGCGGCGCGCGACCCATCGCTAGCGGACCGACTCGCGGCCGCTTGGAAGCGCTGGAACACTCGCCTGTCGCAGTCCCCACGGCCCTGGACATTGGCCCGGGGCCCCGCGGGGGCATTTTGGGCAGCGGCTCGCAGGCTGGGCTGGCAATCGCCGGCGCCTTTCTCGCTCGCCATAGGCGTGTTCAGCGCCGATTCGCGCCTGGCCGACGCATGGTGCCTACGCGGGGGCAGGTTGCGCAAGGATGCGACAAGCAGCTCCGGCGAGAGTGGGCTCGACGCTGGGGCGCGGAGGCAGGCGTCGCCAAGATTTTATCGAGCCAGTGCGAGCCCTCTGGGCCAGAGCAGTGTCGACAGCCTGGACGTCGGAGCATCGCGCGAGGGCACGCGTGATCCTGGCTGGAAGAACGCGGAGTCAGGAGCGCCTCTTTGCCGAGGGGGCCGCCTCCAGCAACGCGTGCGCCGCGTGCTGTGGCGAGGGGTCAGGCAGGCATCGTTTTCGCTGCTGTCCATCGCGACAGCGCGCGAGACAGAGCGCGAGACAGCAAGCAGGCCGCGCAGATGCGCGGCAGCTTGGGGCCACCAGCGCGCCCGCAGTTGCCCGCGAGCGCCGGTGGGGTCGAGGCATCGCGCAGGGCCCCAGCGCGGCGCTCTCCGACATGGGGACCTCTGACCCAGCCACGCTGACAGGCGCAGCCCCAGACACCCTCACGGGTGACGTCTACACTGGTGGCTCGCAGCTGCGCGGCAGGCACGGCCCCGTCAAACGCGCGGGGTGGTGCAATACGCAAGCCGCTGACAGCGGAGAACAGATCTTCGCCATGCACGGGCCGCTGCCGCGGCCGCAAGCAGAGCAGCCAATTTTTTGCGCTGACTTGCACGCAGCATGGCTTTGCAGGCTGGAATGGTGCCGCCCAGGATCTGGTCAGACAGCACAAACGATGTAGAAGGCTTTGCTCGCGGGAAGGAATGGTGCACTCGCTGCTCGAAACCGCGTGCCAGCCAATGGAGATGGGCCTGGCACTTGGTAGAGGAGCTAGGCGGAATGGGCCCTCAGATGGTCCAGCCTGGAAAAATTAAGGCCCATGCCGCAGCGGCCGAGCGTCAGGCGATGGGAACGAAGCATTTCCAGGGCAACAGGGCGGCCGATAGGGGAGCCAAGCTAGGGGCAGCCTCCTCCAGTACACCCCGAATTGCACGTCGAGAATTACGTGCGAGTTTAAGCTAGCCCCGAATATTCTGCAATTTAATGCCGAAGTTCTAGCACTGTCGTCTGATGTAGTAGACAGGGTTCAAGGACGGGCCGCTGCAGGCCTTGAGTAATAGTGGGGCGGGTATTGGGGTCGCGGAGCGTCGTGGGGGGGGGGGTCGGGGGAGCGGGCGGGGCCTCTGAAGAGGCTGGGCGCCCCCTGGTCAGGTCTGGAGGGCCTCCAGAGGGAGCGGGCCCCGACGAGGCCTTCCGAGCCAAGCTGGGGCGAAGAAGCCGCCGCCAGCTCGTGACTCGGCAATGCTATGCTTTCTGCCGAGTATGTGCTTTGCTTGCTACGCTCAGAAGCGCTGGCAGAATCTCAGCAACAGCGAGTGCAAGGGTCACAGGAACAAAGCGCATGGTCGCTTGAATCGTCTGTGGAAGGTCCAGCACCGTACCACGGGTAGGCCCATTGGGCAAACTTCCCATGACCTCGCCAGGTCCCTTCTACACGGTAGAGCCAGGACGCTGTCAGATGTTTAATCCTGTTGAATCCTCCTCCTCCTCCTTATCCTCCTCCTCCTTATCCTCCTCCCCTCCTCTCCCGTCCCCGCGCCCATGCCCGTCTTCTCCGCCTCCCAGATCAACCGCCTCTCTGCCTCTAAGTCGGGCGCGTCCCTTTACAGGAGGACGGTTCAAAAAGAGTGAAACATAGTATGGGAACGATTTTTGTGTGTATTTTTTCTGCATTTATGGAATATTCGTTGGCAATCTTTTATTGTTCGTTCAAAATCCCCCTGTAGGAGGACACGCCCGACCTAACTCTGCCTACATCCAAGACCCGTTTCGACGACCCCCCTCTCCCGCTCTTGTCCTCGTCAGGCATCCTCGCACCGGGAAGGCTATCGGAAGGCTTTGGGCATTCCTCTGCTTTCGGGCCCTTGCTGGGCTCCAGGGGCTGACAAAATATGGTTCGGAATAAAAATCTCGTGCCCGCGGAGAGGTCCAAATCTCAGAGGAGCCACGTTGTGAGCCAGGGCCAGTGTCTCCAAAATCTGGCCTGCGTGGGCAGGGTTCACACGTGGTCGCCCAAAAAGCCCTTCGTCGAGCCAGGGCTCGGCGGATGCTGATGCTAAGTCCACACGGAGAAGGTCCATACGGAGTGTTTGGTCTCCGTCTGGGCTTATTTATTCCGTCTGGACGTATCCTCTCCTGAAAGGCCACTTTTCTTGGTCGGGTTCTTCCTGGGCCCAGGCAAGCCATGAGGGCGTGGCGTATACACCGCTGCTGGGTTCAGGATGGACCCGGCTAGACAGCAGTGGATCTTCCTCATCGTCG